TGACACCTTACTTAAATGGCTGCTTGTACAGAACCAATGGTTCTGGGGGTCACGGGAGAAGGGGAGGTGGGATAAAGGAAGGGGAGTGGTCAACCAACCCAGAGACAAGAGAACAACAAGGATGTCTAGTGGGGCTTAATCAAGGGCAGTGTAACAGCGAGGAATTACTGAAAGCTGAATGAAGACTGAACATGATAATGGGACAAGAGGAAAGTAAAAGGAAATAGAGTAAAGAACTAGGAGGCAAAGGGCATTTGTAGAAGTCTAAATACAGACATGTACATATATAAATATTTATATGTAACTATAGGAAAATAGATCCATGTACTTATATCTATGTGTTAAGTATTAAGGTAGCAGATGGACATTGGACCTCTATTCAAGTACTCCCTCAACACAGGAACACTTTGTTCTAATAATCCGGCATTCCGTGATGCTCACCTTCCCAACACGATTGCTGAAGACAAAAAGGGTGCATAAGCAAATGTGGTGAAGAAAGCTGGTACCCAGCTATCAAAATATATAGTGTCTGGCGTCTTAAAGGCTTGAAGACAAACAAGCGCCCATCTAGCTAAGAAGCAACAAAGCCTGCGTGGAAGAAGCACACCAGCCTGTGTAATCATGAGGTATCGATGGGATCAGGTATCAGGCATCTAAGACCCAGAACAAAAAAAACATAGAAATGCGAAGGGGGTTCGGAGTGGAGACCCAAAGCCCATCTGTAGACAATTGGACATCCCCTTACAGAAGGATCACAAGGAAGAGACAAGCCAGTCAGTGTGCAGCACAGCACTGATGAAATATACAACTTTCTTCTGGTTCTTTAATGCTTCCTGCCCCCACTATCATGACTTCAATTTTACCTTAAAAATCTGACTAGACCAGAACATGTACACTGCTACAGATAAGAGCCTGCAACACAAGGAAACCAGGACAGACAAACCTCTCAGGACCAATAATGAGAATAGAGATACCAGAAGTGGAAGGGGAAGGTGGGAGGAGAAAGGGTGAATGGATCATAAGGATTGACATATAACCCACTCCCAGGGGGACGGTCAACAGAAAAGTGGGTGAAGGGAGACAGCGGACGATGTAAGATATGAAAATAATTTGTAATTTATCAAGGGTTCATGAAGGAAGGAGGAGGGTACTGGAGGGAGGGGGAAAATGAGCTGATAGCAAGGGCTCAAGTAGAAAGAAAATGCTTTGAAAATGATGATGGCAACATATGTACAAATGTGCTTGACACAATGGATGAATGTATGGATTGTGATTAGAGCTGCACCCCCCCCCCAATAAAAGTATTTAGTAATAATAATTTTAAAAGTCTGCTTGTCTTAAGGCAAGTCTTTGAGGCCCCAGATGCTATTCTCTCTGATAGCCAGGCATTACCTGATTGCTTCACTACACTTTGCTATAGTTCCATTATCTTCAGTTATCTCTTAATAAGGGTGAGAATCAAATAGGGCCATGTCATAAGAACTAATTGTTCTTAGATTCAAGTTAAGTGTTCCTTGATTGTTTTCACATAGTAATAAATACCAGCCCTAAACTATTAAACATATGATGTATTTTTACTTGTTCTTGTACCCTGGATAATTTGTTCTATCAGTAGTAGCTGCATCTTCAAAAGTCTAGTAATACATAAAACATCTAGAATGTAAGATAATGTTGATTGATTGCTACATCTTATGATAAGATTTTAACTTCATGAGAAATTGCCGGACCATCTTCCAAAATGATCATTCCTTTTACATTCCTGCCAGCAATGAAAGAGAGTTTCCGTCACTCTACATCATTGCAATAGTTGATATTGTTAGTTTCTTGCTTCATTTTTGTTTTGGATTTTAGTACATGACTGTACATTGTAATATAAAGTTATAATGAACTCATTGTGAAAACCAAAGTTTTTAATGTGTAGTGAATTTTACTCTTAGTACGTATTACATTTTTAAAATTAATTGTCTCATTAAAATTAGTATTTTAAGAAAGAATATTTTTCACATGAAGGGAGTATTTATAAACAGTGAAAACTACAAGATAGATCAAAATAAAGAATAGTAGGAGTGTAGCCGTTCTTGTCCAATATGATTTATGAGTGCCACAGAATTTACTTACCATTTACTTTAAGGCTGAAAATTAACTAGAACATCACACACTTCTGAAAATAGAGTTTATTTTGAAAACACCCATGCCATAAAATATATCTTTGTTAATATCTTTTCTTGTTTCTTCTATTTTTTTGAAGGTGATTTTTTCAACCTAATATACCAAAAGACAAAATGGGCATGGGGGGGAGTCAAATCATAGTTTCAAAAAATTGACCGGATATTTCTCATGTTTCCAGTGATCTGTTTTCCATTTGTGTTGTTTCTTTATAAATAATTTTATTGGGGGCTCTTACACCTTTTACAACAATCTATACATCAGTTGTATCAAGCACATTTGTACATGTTGCCATCATCTTCAAAACATTTTCTTTCCACTTGAGCCCTTGGGATCAGCTCCTCTTTTTTCCCTCCCTCTCCCACCGTCATGAACCATTGATAAATTATGTATTATTATTTTCATATCTTACACCATCAGCTGTCTCCCTTCACCCACGTTTCTGTTGTTCATCCCCCTGGGGAGGGGGCGATTATATGTCAGCCATTGTGATCGGTTCTCCCTTTCTCCCCATTCTCCCCCACCACCCCACCCCCCGCCATCCCCCAACCATTATGGTATCACTACCATTACTGTTCTGAGGCGGTTATCTGTCCTGGTTTCTGCATGTCGAGAGCTCTTATCTGTACCAGTGTACATGCTCCAGTCTAGCTGGATTTGTAAGGTAGAACTGAGGTTATGATAATGAGGGGGAGGAAGCATTCAAGAACTAAAGGAATGTTGTATACTTCGTGGGTGCTATACTGCACCCTTGGCTGATTTGTCCTTTCTTGTGTCCCTTCTGTGAGGAAGGTCCAATTGTCTGCAGATGGGCTTTGGGTCTGCACTTCAATTCCGCTTGTTTGCATCAGTTTGATTATGTGTTTTGGGTTTCCTGATCCCTGATACCTGATCCTATAGACACCTCATGATTATCCAGGCTGGTGTATTTCTTCCATGTGGGCTTTGTTGCTTCTCAGCTAGATGGCCGCTTGTTTAACTTCAAGCCTTTAAGACCCCAGACTCTGTATCTTGTAATAACCATGCACTATCAGCTTTCTTTACCACATTTGCTTATGCACCCATTTTGTCTTCAGCCATGAGTTTGGAAAGGTGAGTATCACAGAATGCCAGGTTATTAGAACAGTGTTCTTGCATTGAGGGAGGACTTGAGTAGAGGCCTGATATCCATCTGCTACCTTAATACTTAACATATAAATATATGTACATAGACCTATGTCTGTATCATTATATATTAATATATTTACATATATACATGCCTATATTTATTCCTCTAAAAATGTCTTTTGCCTCCAAGTTCTTTCCTTTCTTTCATTTTACTTTCCTCTTGTCACACTATCATGCTCAACTGTCATTTGGCTCTCTGTAATTCCTCTTTGCTATATTGCACTTGATCAAATTCAACCAGGCATTCTACGCCCTCCCCGCCATCGATTTTAGATCTTTTTTTTTTTGTTCCCTTGTCCCTGGGTTTGTTGGCTTCCCCCACCATTTCCCCCACATCCCCCTCTTCCACATTCCCCCACATGTCTCCCTAGAACTGTGGGCCCCATTGTTTTCTCTTCAGGATTGTAAACAATCCTGCCTATCTTATATAGATAGACATTTTTTTAAAAGCCTATAAATAGTTCCAGGCCTGTTTGCTGACCCTTTTTAATGTTTTCCGATCAATTCTGATGAGGTGCCAAGCCCTGCCTCCTGAGTCAGAAGTCTCTTTTCGAGAATCCTCGAGGACTTAGTTGCTTTGCTCCCCTTGCTGCTTTGTTGCACTCCCTTTGTGTTGTGCTCTGGTGTTGGGGGTCAGACCAGGCACAATTCCCGCACTATCCCCAGTAGTGCTGTGGGTCAGTTAGGGAATGTCTCATGGTGGGGCCACCCTCATGGTCCTCTCTGTGCATTGACTGCTCTGAGCAGGAATGTTGTCCTTAGGCTTGGTGGGCCAGGATGTGGTTCTTTCTCTCTCTCTTTCTCTCTCTCTCTCCCTCCCTCCCTCCCTCCTTCCCTCAGTCCTAGTTTGCTCCTGAGTGGTCTGGGCACACCTGCCACTCTACATGGGCTGTCTTCAGTGCTGTTTTCTATACTGCATTCTTCTCTGGGAGGGGGATTTGTTTTCCATTTGTATTGGTTTTATATTAAGTGGTTGATATTTTTGTTATCTTTAAATATCTTTCTATAAGTTTCCTTAAAAATGCTGCTACAAATTGTTTCCTCTTCATTTTTTACTTATATATAGGCTATAGTTTTCAATCTTTCAAGGAATATCTAACCAATTAATAGAGATGACTTGGAATCGGGCACCCAAGGAAGATGGTTTGGGGACAGATGGAGATTATATGAAAGACCATTCAGTTTTATTTCCATAGTCTTTTTCTTTTATTCCTGGGAATAGAGTATAAGCTTGATTGTGGATTGCATACTCAGTCCACACACAGACAGAGCCACAGGACTCTAGAATTATTTGATGAATTTAAGTGTATATAATTAAAATTATTTTGGAAACCAAGTCTCAGCAGCTTCAGTGTTTCAGTGTAGGTTACACAGCCTGTTGGAACTGAGAAACAGGAAACATTGTTTGTTCCTCAGTTCATTGCAAGGATCTTGTAGTGTCTTCTAAGCAGGTGAATTTCTTCAGAGGGATATTTTGATCCACTCACTACCCTACTGTTGTTAACTCTCTCTTAACTGTACAGTGTGAATTATGTGGCGGTTACATATTAAATCATCATGTTTGCGTTCAGTAACTTAAACAAGCTTGCTGTGTTAGCCTTCCCTTTTTTATTCTCATTTCCCTCTTCTTTGTTAATAGAAACATATTTACTTGTTTTCTTTAACAGTTGTTCCGAGAAGTACGAATCATGAAGATACTGAATCATCCTAATATAGGTAAGAGATTTACATATGTAATTTTTAATGATGAGTATTCATTTGAAAAACTATGATTTTAAAGTATTTTATATAAACAGAAGAAAAGCGATAATATGAGTGATAAAGTGAAAAAGTCTTACTTTGGGTAAAAAGTTATTTTTTAACAAAAAAAAAAACTAAGTCTACAAATGCAGTTTACTAATATTTTGCAGTCTTCACTGAAAGTATGCATATGATTTGGAATTAAATACATAGAAAACTGTTTGTTTTATTTTTTTGACTCCTTACCAAATTTCCCTATAGAGTTTGTAGCTGTTTAGGTATTTATGAAAAATGAATTTCATATAATTTGATAATATATATTTGTGTTTGAGCATAGGCTATAGGCAACAAAATATATTTTAAATGACTGCAATTTAAAATTGCAATTATTTCCAATTTTTGTGTTTTATCAAGTACATTATTATATGAAGTAATTTGATTATAGTAAGTGTAAAACAATTATTTGAATCTGTTTAAAAAACCTTGTTTTTTCCCACATTTAAAAATTTTATCGTTACAAAAAATCATATCATTGTGAATAAGGGGGAGTGCAAAGTAGAGACCCAAAGCCCATCTGTAGGCAACTAGACATCCCCTTACAGAAGGGTTGCGGGGAGGAGACGAGACAGTTAGGGCACAGCAATGATGAAACATACAACTTTCTTCTAGTTCTTTAATGCTTCCTCCCCCTACTATCATCCCATTTCTACCTTGCAAATCTGGCTAGACCAGAGGATGTACACGGGTTCAGATAGGAAATGGAACCACAGGGAATCCAGGACAGATGAACCCCTCAGGACCAGGGCTGAGAGTGGGGGAACCGATCACAAGGATCTACATATAACCCCCCTCCCTGGGGGATGGACAAAAAAAAAGTGGGTGAAGGGAGATTTTGGACAGTGTAAGATATGACAAAATAATAATAATAATTTATAAATTATCAAGGTGCGGGGAGGGAGGGGAAAATATGAGCTGATACCAAGGGCTCAAGTAGAAAGAAAATGTTCTGAGAATGATGATGGCAACTTATGTACAAATGTGCTTATCACAATGGATGGATGTATGGATTGTGATAAGAATTGTACGAGCCCCCAATAAATGATTAAAAAGAAAAAAATGCAGGTGAAACCATTGGGAAAAAAAAGAAAATGATGACAGTTGTACAAATGTGCTTGACACAATGGATGTATGCATGGATTGTGATAAGAACTGTAAGAGCCCCCAATAAAATGATTTTTTTTTAATTTATCTTTATCGAATATATTAGCGTGAATTAAAAAAAATAATTTGTTAGTAGTTTTTACCATATACTTTAATAACATTACATAATTGTTTTTAAATTCTTTAAAATTTTCCTTCCTACGCCAAAGATAACAACATTAAATAAGTCTCATTTAAGCTTTGTTAACTTTCATTTGATTATTCTAATGTTAAAAGTCTCCTTTTGTTTACCTTATTTTGATTGGAATAAAGCAATTTTATTTTACCCCAAACATTTAACTACCTTTTGAAATAGCAGTTGGTTTCAAATCATTTAGCAGTGTTTTTTTGGGGGGTGGGGGGTTTGCTTTCCTATGGAAATAATAACACTTGGGATCTTTTAAATTTTTTAAATCACAATTAATTATTTTTGTACATTTCTCTTTGGTTTTGTGTTACCTTAAATTACTTGAAGCACCCTCAGACTATGCTAACAATTATAGAGTCATATCTCTGATTTCTTTTTTCAGTAAAATTATTTGAAGTTATTGAAACAGAGAAGACCCTCTATTTAGTCATGGAATACGCCAGTGGGGGTAAGGATGAAAAGGATTGAAAAGTTTCCTTTGATGAGCCATGTGAAATTATCAGTGCCTAAATGTTCATTATAATACATTTATCTTCATTATTGTTCATGGGTCTATTGTTTTGTTAAAATGCCTTTAAAGTATGTCTTTAAAAAATTCTGTGTTTGCTTTGAAGACTCATTTAGTCTACATTGAATTATTGAATATTTTCTTAGTTAAAATTGCTTCAGGGTAGCTTCCAAAACTCTAAATTCACATTGTCATATGTGAATATTTTTGTTCTCTGATCTAAGTATTATTATAATAATACAGGTACTCCCTGCTTTTGGAAAGTTTGCTTTATGCCACTCTGTTTAACAAAATACCTACACTAGTACCTGCTTTCACTATCTGAGGGAAATCTGAAAAGGATTTGACTTTTACGACAAAAGGTAAAATAGTTGGTGTTCAGCATTTGTTTTGCAGCTCGCAGTCCAGAGCAGCGAGAGCACTGTTATCATCTTGGTGTGGAGCCACCACAGCTGTGAACTGTGTCTGTGGAACACTGTATGTTAGTGTTACCTTAGCTTTTCTGTGTTATTTGGTATGATTTTGTAGGTTGAATTTTGGGTCTGGCAATGCTCAAAAAGTCCCCATATAAATTAATGGTAATCCCACTTCTCTTTTAGGCTATTTCTCTTTGACTTGCATGGAAACGCTATACTTTCACATAGGGGGGAAACCTATATACCATAATGCGATAATGACTACATACTTTTGATTATAAGCAGCGAAGGCCTCAAATACAGTACATATTTCTTGAAGTTTCTAGTAAAAGCATGTCCTGGGTTATATGTTTATTCCACTGGTTATTCATATATGATAAATTCTAAATAAGCAAATATTTTCTGAACAATCCATAAAATATTTCCACTTTTAAAAGTCTGTATCTATGTAGTTTCATATAAAGTAGGAGATTGAGATGGCAAGGAAATAGCAAGATATTATTGGTCATATAGTATAATGTATATTTTGACTGCTATAGAATGATCTTTAAACACTTGTATGTAACAGGAATTCTCTTCTGCCCTTTGCATCAAATGAGATATCAACTCAAAATAGCTGTTCTTTCAGGCATAGGGTTTCCTTTTCTCAGAAACAGGCTTAAAATTTATGGGGTTAAATAATTTACTTAGTAAAAAGGAATATTTACAAGGTGGTATTAGGAGCTCAGAATTTAAACAACTGAAAAAGAGGGAGGTAGCTGAAATTAAACTACATTGACTGGCTATTCAATATTCAGCAATTTTCTTCAATAGAAAAACTAAGTGTTGAGCCCTTTTAGCTAATAGTTTAATAGTTATATATTTATGGTAACTCAATTTATATGTATATATAAAAGAAAGGTTTATTTATTGTAAACATCTGTGCCATATGCTTTTGTACTACCTTAGATTTCTAAAAAATTACAAATATTAATTAATTTTTTGCTTTCTTAGTTGTCTAAAGAGATTGAATGCTTCAGTTGATTTGTACTTTTGCAAAGTTGTTTTATCTTGAAGCAGCTTGATTTTAAAATTGCATTAATAACAGCCATGCAAATTTGTATAGAATAAAGGTTCGTAGTAAAACTATAAATCACAATCATCACAAAATGAACTATTTCTGTTTCTTAAATTTTTTCCCTAGCCTTTAGTTAGAGTTCTATAATAATGTGCAGTTTGGGAATCCTAGAGCTATTATTAGTTCAGTGAGACTCTTTTTTCCTTTACTTTTGATCTAAACTTTGGGGAGAGGGGTTTGTACCCACCAACTGCTCTGTGGGAGAAAAGACTTGGTGATCTGTCTCTGTAAAGAATACAGTCTAGGAAACGCTGTGGGGCAGTTCTGTCAGTCCTTGCAGGCTCACTATAAATTGGAATCAACTAAATGGCACACAACAATTTGTGGACTCTTCTGTTTTTATAAAAGTCCTCAAGGCTGTGTTAATATTAACATGCATACAGTTTTAATGAGGAATGTTAAGTACAGTCAACTCTCTATTGGTGGTAATGACGGGGAGCAATGGCTAGACTAACACAGAGCCAAGGGAGGTGGTTATCACTGTTCTCCTTCAGTAACAGAGCCAGGAGGGACGATGTATAGTATTATTAGGTATGGAATTCAGCCCCATCCATTCAGTCTGATTCCTGGTCATAGAGTGTCTTTAGCTCTGGGAACTTGCCAGTCAGCAGCCTTATAACAAAACCAGCATGGTTCAATGGCAGTAAATTAGAAGCATTTTTCTTGCTTTTTTAATCTGTACAAAATGGTGAGGTAATTATGGAAAATAAAACGCTTTTTCCTATAAAATTTCTAGATATTTTTAAATTGAAGCTGAATTGCACACAAAAATAGAATCATACTGCCTCTTTGCTAGGAATAGACGAGTTGATTTTGGCACATTAATAAGGCAGGAGGTATAGAGATTGGGAAAGCAAGCATCTCCTGATGAATTTAAGCCATCATTAGTCCAAAGTAGCCCATTAAAAGTAGATGTCAGGGCTACTCGGGGATGGTGTGTTTATCCCTGCCTTTGTTTATGCAAACCATTTATTAAATGTTTTCTGTGTACCAAATAATAGTCTGGGTCCACAAGTATACAGTGGTGCTCAAAGACAAAGTACCTGCCCTCGGGAAGATTGCATTCTAGTTGAGGCAAATCATAAATGCATAACATATAATAAATTAAGTTAAATATCTGGCAAATGAGTTGCTTAAATATCTGGCAAATGAGCATTCCAGACAGAGCTCAAAGGGTAACCCCACATTTTAAACTCTTGGCTACATGTTTCCCTGCTTCAACTCAGATATCTAGAAGTAAACTGTGATCAACTGCTATGACAGGTGAACTGGAACATCCATTCATTTCTCTGTTCTTATCATCCATTTTAAACACTTAAGAATGTTTGATGTGACATACTGTCTAACATAGTAGATGTATGAGTTTCATCTGACATACATCCAGTACATATTTATTTTGAAAGTTTTAATTAATCCTAGGAAGATATTACATTGTATAATGTATATATAGTACCTGCATAGGTACAATCTGTCATCTATTGAGTGCTTACCATATATCAGTTACTATGCTGGCACATGCATTGTTTCATTTAATCCTCACAACACCCATGTGAGGCAGCAGGCACAAGATAGAAATTAGGTCTTAATGAAGTTAAAGAATTTTTCTAACGTCACCCAATAGCTATTCGTATAGATAAACCAGATTTCAGACACAAATTGTACTGATTCTTAACCATGAGTTTTTAACAGCTCTGCTGAGCTTTATAAGTACTCTAAGCCACTTTATGAGTTTTTAATAATCACATATTTCTAAGTATAAGCTACGTTATAAGGACATAGATTTCTTAACTCTCTCGTACTAGAGTTAATATTTTACTGTTAATGTATCTAAGTGTAATTCACTATTTCACTATTGACAAAAGAAAATGAAAAGAAACAAACTTGTAGGCTTTTGCAGAAGACAATGAAATTAGTAGAATATTTCTTCAGTTTCTAGTTACTTGCAAATTATTTCAACAATTTTTTATTGGCAATCCATTTTGTTCTGCCATGGGAATGAGGGTACAAATAAAGTATGTACATCATAATGGTGTACAACTAGTTTAAAGTTCATTTGGAGTAGTAGGCACACACAAGAATAATTTAACTCTATGTAATTTAAGTATCCAAATATGTGACATGAGAATAGAAATAAACATAATCACTAGCCAGAAGGGTAAAGAAGAAATCATTATTATTGGGAATAGATAGAATTTGAACAAGACTATATGATGGTAAAATTTAAGAGAGGAATTATAATATGATTTCATTATTTTGTTTGAAATGTAGGCTCCCAATGCAAAGCTAAAATTAATTTTTACTTGCCTGTGTGGGGCTTCCCATTATTAGAATGGATAATGAAGAGTTGACTGTATTTTTACGTGATACTTGAAAACATAAAGCATGTTTCCTTGGTTATGTTTTTATGGCATTTGAAAAGAGTTTTGCTAAGATATAAGTGGCTACAGGTACACAATTCTGTATGGTTTTTCCCTCTTTTTTTTCTACTCGTTTTAATTTGTGATTTACATAGATCTAGAAGAACATTGCAGGCCAAAAGTTTTGGTTTTGTTTTCCAAACAAGGCAAAAACCTGAAATTGTATATATTGTAAATTGACAGTCCATGTATGTTTTACTACCTGCTTTACCTTTCCAATTCAGGTGAAGTATTTGATTACTTAGTTGCCCATGGAAGAATGAAAGAGAAAGAGGCCCGTGCAAAATTTAGGCAGGTATGGAAAATAGTTTTCAATATTGTTTCATGGTATGTTTATTGATGAACAGTATCACAAACTGGAACTGAGAGGATATGGTATATTCAAAATAAATATATTCCTTCTTTCTACAAGTTTTAAGAATGGAAAGCTCCTGAAAATGAAATCTGATCTTTCTTAGTTTAATTTAAAGTAATTTCAGAAGATGATTATTAGATAGTCTTAAATAGTGAATTTTTACAGGGAGTACTCACCTTACTAGCTCTTTGGGAGTCATGGATATATACATTAGATTGAGATAGAACAGGAAGTTTTGATCCTTTGGAGCTTTATCCAAAATCTGAGTCTGTTTAGCTTTATATGTGCAGCATACGTGTGTACTATTCAGAGGTCTATGTTTTATTTACCTTTTTAATTTAAGATGTGTTGAGCTTAGAATTCATATTTTTGTAGATCTAAAGAATATAGTCAATTTTATTTAGCCAAATAGGCATGGAATCTTGCAAATGTGGCAGAGGGATATGGTAAGATACTTATATTTCCAGTTAAACTTGAATAAGACTTGTTAACAGAAATGATAAATAAGAAAAAGTAAGTTAAATGCACATTTCTATTTTTTATTTTCAGAAATGGAACTATTCAAATAGTCACACTTTATACATACATCACTATAAAAACAACAAATTATAAATTATATAATGTTCATAAAATTTACTGGAATGAATTTTCAGTAGGAAACTTTTAACTGTACCCAAAACTTTACCCTAGTGAGTTTAAAATCATTCATTTAAAACAGTTCAATATGTCTCCCCCTAAGTTTGAACCCTACTCCACGATTTCAGGGGCCCTGCCATCAAAATGTGTGAGAAAATACAGAATAATGATAGAAGAAATTTACCTGCCTGTTAGCTTATCTTAAAAAATCTGAGAAATCCAGAAAGGAAGAAGATGTAAAAACCTAGTTAATATTTGGCTTTTTTTTTTCCCCAAAAAAACTCAAAGCATGACCCAATTATTTGAACTATTTTAAAGTGAGTAAATGTGTTTTAAAGACCTGCATTATTAATACCTCACTGAACTATTACTTTTAGGAACACAATTTGGGGCAAGATACATACCAAAGAGAGCATACATAGTTCTTTTATTCAATGTAGATCCTTAGAAGCATTCAACTGAAAGTATCTGGCTCTAAATGCAATGGGAAAGAAGGAAGCAACCTTGAGAAACTGAATGAAGCCTGTTGAGCTTCACAATGCTAGATTCTTTCCTGTCCCAGGACTAAAGTGCTAGCTTACCCTTAAGGCACTACAACCATTGCATTGCGTATCATTATTCTTTCAACATCACCCGTCTCCATCGTTTGCCTGGCAGACCAGCAAGAAAATTCCATTGGACATTGCTTTTTCCTCTTTAAATGATAGCGTATATTACTACTTACTGTTTCCCCATTTTAAATAGCTTATTATAGAAAAACATACTGGGGCACTATGGAATTAGGAAGCTGAAAATCCCTGCTGTTTTAAAGACCTAATCATCTTTGATAATGGGTGAGAATGAGGTAAAAGCTTGGGAGACACAGATATTTTTATATAGGTCCAAATTATTACTAAGGTTCTTTGCCTTTTTGCAACAAAATCTGAATTATTTTGAAATTTCATATGGAATAACTTCATTTTCCAGGAACTATTTTCTTACATAGGTTTAGTTAAAACTCATAAAAGGTGGGAAAATGTGAATTTTATTTTGTACTTTATTATTTTTATTTTAATAATGAATATACTGTATTGTCAAGAAGAGAGAGATATAAATCTAATAGTAAGGTTAAGGATATATATATATATATACATACTTAACCATATATATCCTTAACCTTACTATTAGATGTGGTGCCAAAGACACTAGGACAATTTATGACCACTTATTACCACCTGTGCACTGTCTGCATTCATTATGATTTGAGGACCTACAAGGAAATCATTGTATTAATTCACTCTTGCAGTACTAAGGCTACTATTGACACCCTGGGGATGGCTACGGCATTAAAAAGCAGCTCCAGCAGCTGTACCTCACTGCAGAACACTGAGCTTGTAGTCTTTAACTCACTGCAGGGCTGGTTGTAAATCATGGTTTCAACATCCATAATAGGAAATTCCCACTTCCCTTTTCGGGAAGTACAGAATTTTGAGAGGGGAGTGCCTGACCATTGAATGATGCAGTAAAATTTGAGTTTGTGAATGGGAATTCCTGCAGTGAGTCAGAAGCACAATATGCCAGAACTTCACTTTCATGACAGAGAATTGCTCACTGCTAGGCAAGTACAGCTGTGTAAACCACCACATTTGGTCTGTTACAGAGTTCAAAGAGAAAACATGCTGAAGGCAGCACATTTTCTATAACCATCTTACCAGAATGAGGGCTTTGGCTCAGAAAGTTGATTTCAAAAGTGCTATGAAACTGCTTTCCTAGAGAATATTTTACGTGATACGAAATTCATGAACTTTGGTCATATTAGGTAACAAAATCATTGTCCTCTAACATGCCTTCACTGGATTACTCCAAGCAAGTAACTTGCAAAAGATAGCGCCATATCAGCAAATTTCTGTCATCCACGAAACAAAAATAAATATCAAAAGATGAGGGGGCTTTGAAAAGTTTGTTGAATAATTCCATTTTCTTTTTTTAAAATAATTTTATTGGCACATAATCCACATATCCTACAATTCAGTAGTTCAATCATATTAAGAAGAGTTGTACAATCATTGTCACAGTTAATTGTCTTTATTGTAATCATTTTTATTAGCCCCCCATTTCTACCCAACTTTCCCTACTATACCCTCAAGAAACCATTAGTCCAGTTACTGTTTCTGTAGAATTATTCCATTATCTTTTAATTCCATTTTCCACCAACTTAAAAAACATCATTATATATAGCCTATATTGTTTGTTCAGTAACATTTATCAATATGCACTTTAAAATGTATGTACTTCTTGGCTAATGAGTTTTTAATGTATTTAACAACAATTAGATATTAGAATTTCTAAGCATGTAGCTTAAGAAACCCAGTATTCCAATTATTCATTAACATCCACTATATTTTAGAGATTCACATTTCAGATTGGTCAGGGCCATTCAGAATCACTGTGTTAAAAATGTGCAGTAGTTCTATAAAAGCTGTGTGGTTTAGAATTCAGAAGTTTTTACCAGTCTGTTTTTGAGGTCACACTCTCACTTAACACCATTTTCATCTCACACTGAAATTTCTCATGTTACATGAATCAACCGTGTTTCATTATTGTTCATGTATTTTGCCATCCTAGTTAGCCTCACCCCACCCCAAATCTCCACATTTTAAAGTATTACTAGCCTTCAAAGGAAGGGATCCCTGAGGGCAGAGTGGCTACGTGCTCGGCTGCTAATCCGAAAACCAGCAGTTCATCCGCCATCCTCTCCACAGTCGGCTTTCATAAAGCTTTACCATCTTTAATAGCCATGGTCAGTTCTCCTCTAGCCTATTGGTCACAACGGGTCAGAATTGGCTCTGGCAATGACTTTGGTTTCTTTTGGTATCCTTCAAGTATAGTTTAGATGAAGTAGCTCCTACTTCAAGAAGCATTTCCAAGTGAAGTTATTCTTTCTTGGTCACCATTCCTGACTACTCTGTACTTCTGCTTCTGCTCTGTTTTATAGTTAGCCAAATTCTTGTTTTCTCTTTCTAATTAATTAGATTATAAGATCTTTAAGGCAGAAGTCCATATAGTGTTTGAATTCATATTTGCATTCCCCTAGCAACCAGCACATTTTCTTGCGTATAGCAAGTACTCAATAAATATAGGTTGAATTGAAATGAATATTTGAATTACACATTACTCATTGTGTATTGATTTTATTTTGAATTCATGCCTCCTATCTTTGAACCACTTGTTGATAAAGATTAGAATATTTTTGTAATGATAAAATATCACTTTTACTACTTTGGAGTTCTTTTCTTTTTAGCCCACATTCCTGTTAGCATAGTCATCTGTTACATCATCTCCAGACTTAAAAAAAATCCCATTTCTGTCTCCTGTTGTAAATGCCTGACCAACATTGAGCATTCAAACTGTGTTGATGTTTAAGTGAATCAGCAGGATTTAATGTCCTACTGTACATGAAAATGATTGTCTTGTATAACAGATGAGCCTGGGGCCCTCGCAGGTTACTGTGTTGTGTTGTTAACCACAAGATCTGCAATTTGAACCCAACCAAGATGAGGCTTTCTGCTCCCCTAATGAATTACAACCTTAGAAACCCACAGGGGCAGTTGTGCTCTGTCCTTAGGATTACAATGAGTCAGAATTGACTTTGATAGCATTGAAATGTATCAGATATTATTATACATACACAACAAATCCTCTAATTGATTGAGATTATAAGTTAAATGTATAAGTAACTCATAACTGTTATGTGCATCGCTATTACAGACTTATTCCTCATTTGTTCTTTTGGTGCTAATCTTGTTAGGTGGCTTCCTTGTTTCCCTCTAAAGAACCATATATACTGTTTAAAGATTATGGCCACATACAAAATCTGCGTAACAGCAGAGGAATACTTTGCCTAAGTGAATTAATAGCAGGTGTTAAGATTAAATTTCCTTATCCCATCATTTTTTTGATGACCAGATTCTTTTTAAGGCTTCAAAAAGCCCCTTCTGTTGGGTCTGTTTAATATGAACAGATGAAGAGTTGATAAATTCTCAGTAAATTGGCTTCACTAAGGCAGCATGCCTTGAACACATCTGTAATAATTCCTAGAATAAAGTTTTGATTTTAGAACCAAGCCAATTATGTTGAAATAGTAATTCACAAAAGCTTTTATTCTAACACAGAAGTAAATTATATGACCAACTACTAATTGTATACATGTAAACAGAGAAATATAACAACAGCTAATCATCACAAACCCTAACAAAAGCATAACTTAGCCTCTTTAGCAAGAGAACATCACGTTTCTCCATTTTCCATACTTAAGAACATAACTTTTATCGCTTTAACTCTATTAGGTATACTTTTCTGAAATAAGAGGAGTAGTGACTTTATTACCATAAACATTAATAGTTTATCTATATTTGAGGTCATGTGGTGAAAAAATCAGTATGCTTGTAACATGAAATCAATTTGAGTGTTTTATCTAAATGTTTATTTCAGATTGTATCAGCTGTACAATATTGTCATCAAAAATGCATTGTTCATCGTGATCTTAAGGTAAGCAACTAATTTTGTACCAGCAAATTCTAACTTATTCTCAGATATTTGATAGTAGAACGCTTCTCTTTGGCTGCTTAATTATGCAAAGTACTGTGCAAGATAATTAGTTCAGTTCTTAAAAATAACTATTTTGGTAAAATTTATATGGTAAAAATACCATTTTCTAGTATGAAAATAATTTCTTTACTTTTAATAATAGTAGTCTCAGAGAATATTTGTCCTTCGGATGATCCCTTCTGGACCAGTGGTGAGAGTGGCGATACTAAGAGGGTGAAGGGAGGGTGACTTAGAAAGGGGGAACCCATTACAAGGATCTACATATAACCTCCTCCCTGGGGGATGGACAACAGAAAGTGGGTGAAGGGAGACGTCGGACAGTGTAAGACATGACAAAATAATGATAATTTAAAAGTTATCAAGGGTTTATGAGGAAGGGGGGCATGAGGAGGGAGGGGAAAAATGAGGAGCTCATGCCAGGGCCTTACATGGAGGGAAAATGTTTTGAGAATGACGAGGGCAATGAATATACAAATGTGCTTTATACAATTGATGTATGTATGGATTGTGATAAGAGTTGTATGAGCCCCCAATAAAATGATTTTTTAAAAAAAAGAATATTTGTCCTTTTGTGATTGCTTACCAAGGGGAGGAGGGAGAATGTGGGAGAAGTCACGGGTTAGATTATTGAGAATTGTAAACTTGGGTGAAAGGGAAGGAAGTTCACAATAAAATAGAAATTAAGAAAAAATGATGGAAAATAGGGGAGGGCTCTGGGAGGTGTGCAAGGATTAAAAGCAACAGGCAAATACTATTGCTTACATGATCACCATTTGGAGTGGTGATCTGTACATGGATGCTGGAGAGACAGGCAATCTGAACAGATGGAGGGAGGAAAAATCCGAGCATACCTATGAACACATATAAGTTTCACAGAATATTTGCATATGTGTTTTTACCTTTGCTGGAAAAAGACCATGAATGTAGTGGAATATCCAGGGGACAAAATTATGAAAACCAAACAACACGAGGGAATGTTTGACTGGGCCTAGGGATTCCATACCATGGTCTGGGGAGATACCAAGGTCCGTTGGCATAACATGGTTCACAAAGGCAGTGTTCTAAGTCTGCATTGATAAGTAGTGACTGGGCTTTTAAAAGTTCGTGAGCAGCCATCTTAAGTTGCCACCATTGGTCTCTCCTACCTGGAAGAAATAAGAATGATAACAACTGGAAGACAACTGGATAACAACTAAATGAAAGCAATTAGTCCAGTGGACTAATGGACCATGCAAACATCAGTCTCCACACGTCTGACACCAGGAGACCCGGATGATGTTCAGCCACCACTACCAACTGCTCTGAAAAGAATAACGCTAGAAGGCCCTGGATAGAATGGAAGAAAAATGTGGAACAGAACTTAGAATCATAAAAAAGAGACCAGGCTTATTGGTCGGATAGAAACTGGTGAGATACCTAAGACTATGTCCCTTAGTCAACTCTTAGATCTGGAACTGAACTCACCACGTTGGTTTTTTGGTAATGAAAAAGTATTTGGTTACTTTACAACCAAGGTTCACACCTTAGAATAATCTACCATTTAAGACCAGAAGGGTAGCATTTACCCAAAGCCAAGAGAATTAGGGAGGAAGGAGGAATGGACACAAGAAATTGAAATGGATGATTTGTAACAAAATCTTTATGAATTATTGAATGGAAAACTGATGTTCTGCACTGTAAACCTTAACCTAAACCACAATTTTAAAAAATGTAATGTCACTTTAAATCATTTTAAGGGAATAATCATAGATATATAGTATATTATCTATGTTGTATAACCATCATCGTTATTTCTGATACTTTTTTTTATCACCCAAACAGAAAAGGAATACTCTTGAACCAGTGATTAACTGTTGTCCCTGTCTTAGTTACCTAGAACTACCCTAGCAAAATACAAGGGAGGTGACTTTAAGAACAGCAATTTATTGCCTCGCTGTTCTAGAAATCTGAATTCAAGGCATCTTGTACTCGCTTTTCTCCTTTAGAGAACGAACCTCTCTTTTCTGAAACACTGCCAAAGTGTTTTCCACTGGTGATGCAACATTGTGCCTTCGCACCAGTAATGTATAAATGTTCCAATTTCTCTATATCCCTGTCAATACTTGTTTGCTAAAATATTCATATCAGTGAGTGTGAAGTGGTAATTCATTGTAGTTTTGATTTATTTCCCTGATGTTTAGTGATATTGAGCATCCTCTCATGTGTATATAGGCCATTTGTAGATCTTTAGATAATATCTATTCAAGTCCTTTGCCTGTGTTTTCAGTTGGCTTTTTTTCTTATTGGTTATTTCACAGGAGTTCTTTATATTTTTCTAGATATTGAACCCCTATTAGATGTTTTTCTCACATTCTGTAGTTTCTCTCTTCACTTCCTGATAATGCCCTATCATATACACTTTTTTGGAAGCCTAATTTATGTTTCTTTTCTTGTGTTACTCATATTTTTTGGTTCCAAGCTTAAGAATACATTTCATAAGCACAGCCCTGAAGCATAATATCTGTGTTTCATTTTATGCATTTAATATGTTTCTTTTTTGAGATAGTTTTATTGAGAAATCGTTAATGTAATATACAATTCTGTAGTTCCGCCACATGAAGAATTAGGGTTGTGCAGGTATCACCACAGTAAACTTTGGAATATTTTCTTCCAAGTGTTCCAAATTTTTTACTTCTCATGTTCAGATCATTGATCTATTTAAGTTCATTTTCATATGTTCTTTGAGGTAGGGCTCAAATTTCATTCTTTTGCATGTGGAGATCAAATTCTCCCGCATAATTTGTTGAAGAGACTATTCTTTCCACATCAAATGAACTTGAACCCCTATCAAAAAAATCACTTGACAATTGATGGCTGGAATTTTTTCTAGCTTCTCTGTTTTATTCCTTTGGCCTACATGTATGTCTGTGTGTGTATTAGTACCCCATCGTTTTCATTATTGCAGCTTTGTAGTAAACTTTAAAAGTAGGAGATGTGAGTCTTCCAATCTTTTTTCTTCCTTTACAAAATTCTTTAGGCTATTTGGGATCACTTGTAGTTTCACATGAATTTGAGAATTGACTTTTCTATTTCTGAGGAAGAAAAAGACTGTTAGAATTTTCATTGGGGTTGTGTTAAAACTCTATTGTTTGGGGACTTAATTCACTGCTTCATCTATGTACACAGAATATATTTCCATTAATTTTGGTCATCTTTAATTTCTTTTAGCAATGTTTCATAGTTTTCAGTTTACAAGTCTTTGACCTCGCTGGTTAAATTTATTCCTAGATATTTTATTCCTTTATGTGCACTTGTAAATTGAATTCTTTTATTTTCTTTTAAAATTGGTATATAAAATCACACAGGTGATTTTTGTGTGTCCATTTTGTACCTTGTAACTATTAAATCCATTTATTTGTTCATATATATGAGTGATACCATATATACTCGAGTATAAGCTGAGTTTTTCAGCACTTTTTAAATGCAGTTTTTGTGGTAAAATTAGGTGCCTCGGCTGATGTTCAGGTCAGCTTATACTCGAGTATACAGTATATGGTGTGTGTGTGTGTAATGGGGGCTCATATACATCCATTGTGTCATGCACATTTGTACATTTGTTGCCATTATAATTTTCAAAACATTTTCTTTCTACTTGAGTTCTTGGTATCAGCTCCTTTTTTCCCTACCTTACCCACCATCCCACACTTGTGAATCCTTGAAAATTATAAATTATTATTTCCACATCTTACACCATTCGCTGTTTCCCTTTACCCACGTTTACATTGTTCGACCCCCTGTGGGGGGGTATTATACATTGATCATTGTGTCCACCTTTTTCCCCCTTCTTCCCCCCACCCTCATGGTATCACTACTCCCATTACTGTTCCTGAGGGGTTTGTCTGTCCTGTACTGAATTCCAAGGGTCTTAGCTGTACTAGTGTACATCCTCCGGTCTAGCCGGATATGTAAGGTAGAACTGAGGTCATGATAGTCGGGTTGGGGGGTGGGGAAGCATTCAAGAGCTAGAGGAATGTTGTGTGTTTCATCAATGCCATACTGCACCCTAGCTGACTTGTTCCTCCTTTGTGACCCTTCTGTCAGAGGATGTCCAATTGTCTATAGATGGGCTTTTCGGGGTTCTTCAGGGACTTCATTGCTTTGCTCACCTTGCTGCTCTGTTGCTCTACCTTCGTGTTTCGACCTGGCATTTATTAGTTCTTATTACTTTCTTATAGAGTCTTGGAATTTATATATACAGACATACCTCAGAGATATTATGGGTTTGTTTTCAGACTCCCACAATAAAGCAAGTGTCACATTAAAGCAAGTCACATGAATTTTTTTGTTTCTTAATATATATGAAAGTTATGCTCATGTCCACAGTTGGGTCTTCACTCTACCTCCCCCCTCATTCACATCAATGTAATTGTTAGTTTTGCCTGATACCTGATCCCATCAACACCTTGTGATCCCACAGGTTGGTGTATTTCTTCCATGTGGGCTTTGTTCAAATGGAAGCTGTATTATTTGTTTTACTAATTAAATAGTGCTTTGTTGTGGTAGCATTCTTCAAGTGAAGTCAAAAGTAATTAATTCAGTAGTCACAATACATGAATGCCAGTTCTTTCAGATGTACCATTGAACTTTGCATTTAACAATGATGAGAGTTTTCTGATACAACAGACACATCAACCAATGGGATAGAATTGAGAACCTAGAAGTTAATCCATCCACCTATGACAATTGATCTTTGACAAAGATCTGAAGCTCGTTAAATGAGGAATAAATGGTGTCTTTAATAGCGTATGCTTGCACAACTGAATATCTATTTGTAAAGCAATAAAACAGGCCCCGTATCTCACACCACATATAAGAATGAACTCATGGTGGAGCATACACCTTGGTGAAAAAGCTAACGAGACTAAAGCTACAGAGACTATCAAAGAAGAGGGGCAAACATAGGGGCCCTAAGACAGCATAAATACACTACTACTATCAAGCATAACTAAAAACACACAAACTGCAGAAGTCAAATTAGTTGTGTGGAACCTCCTAAAAATTAGACAACCATGTCCATCAAATGACTGCATCAAAAGACAAAGAAGAGAACCCACAGAATGGGGGAAACTTTTGGCAATAGCATATTGGACAAGGGAACAATCTCTAAAGTGCATAGAAAATTTCAATGCCACCACAACAAAAACACAAATAATCCAATTTTAAAATGAGCAGAGGGTATGAACAGACATTTTGTCAAAGAAGACATTAAGGTGACCAACAAATAGAGGGATGCTCGAGCTCTTTAGGCAATCAAACCAACCAAACTCCCTGCCATCGTTGATGCCGACTCATAGTGACCTTTTAGGACAAGGTGGAACTGCCTCTGGGGGGTTCCAACACTAACTCTTTACAGGAGTAGAAAGCCCAGTGTTTCTCCAGTTGAGCAGCTGTTGGTTTCAAACTGCTGGCCTTGCAGTTAGCAGTCCAAAGCATAGACATGCAAACCAATGCAACAATAACATTAATAGCAAATGTAAAGGAAAAAAGAAACAAACTTTCAAATGCTGATTATGACATGACGAGACTAAAACCCTCGCCCACTACTGGTAAAATTGTAAAATATGTAACCTCTGTGAAAAACAGTATGGTGCTTTATTAAAAAGTTGGAAATAGAAATAGCATATGATCTAGCAATCCCACTAATAAGTACATACACTTGAGAAGTTAGAGCCATAATGTGAGTGCATATATATGTACTTAAGCTTAATTCAGCACTATTCACAATAGCAAAAAAAAAGGGCACAATTTAAATGCCCCTCAGTTGGTTAATGTATAAACAAATGATGGTTCATATACACAGTGGAATATTACTCAATGCAAAATTAAAGAATAACAATGAATCTGAAATACTCATGTTGTTGAACCTGGAGAATAAATATTATGTTGAATGAAATTAGTCACAAAGGGAAAAGTATACACAAAAAATAGTCAGAGAGGATAAACACATTAAGCAATATACATTGTGTGTGTGGGGGGGGGGTAGAGGTAATAACAATAACCTGCAAGTAGATACATAGACAGGCAAGCTGAAGAGTTGTGGGAAGGAGAGAGGGATTATCCCCACAAACATACATATAGATTTGATAGAGGGTACTTCCAATACAAATTTCCATATGCTCTAAATATATAGCAAGATGAATTTACACATTGGCTGCGACAATGGGCTCAAACATGAAAAGTTGTAAGGATGGCACAGGATGGGCAATGATTCATTCTGCGTTACATAAGTCTGCTATGAGCTGGAACAAACTCAGTGGCCCTGACACAATGGGAATCTATCCCTAAATAGAGTATACAAGGGCAAAGTTGAACATATTTTAGGTTAGCCAAAAACCTTGAGGGTCTGAGTCACTGGGCAATTGGCATAACATAGTCCGCAAAGAAAATGTTCTATATACAACTTTGGTGAATAGTGACTAGGAGCTCCAAAGCTTGTGAGCAGCCATATAAGATGCAACCAAGGTCTCTCATTAAAAGAGAGTGAAGAAAATCAAAGATAAATGTAAGTAAGTAATCCAGGGAACTAATCGACCACACAGTCCTCTGCCTCCATGACACTGAGACCAGAAGAACTAGATGGTGCTCAACTTATAACTATCTAGTCCTTGTAAAAAGGGATCACATTAGAAAATCCTGGATAGAATAAGAGAGTAATGGGGAATAAAACTCAAAACCATTAAAACAACAACAAAATAGGCATATTAGTCAAGCCTGTAGACCAGTAAAACCCCTGAGGCTGTGGTCCTTAGTCACCCTTCAGGCCTGAATTGAACTCACCTCCTGGCTCTATTTTCAGCTAACCAATAGACCACTCTATAAGGGGAATAATTACCCTAGAAAGGTATGCACTGCTAAGAACAATCAACCATTCAGTGATCAAAAGGACTACATTTAGCCAAGGATAAAGTTCCAAAGACAGGAAGGGTTAGGAAAGAAAGAGGAAGAGATAGAGAATAAATATGGTAGGAGTAGGATGAGTGGTGAGGAGTGTTACATTGTATGGATTGGGCTCAATACATGAAATAACATGTGTATGAATTGTTGAATGGGAAACGGATCTGCTCTGTAAACATTCACCCAAACCACAATAAAATGTTTTAAATAGGAACTTTCCTTTTCTTTTTCCCCTCTTAGAATTTCATTCCCTTTCAGTACAAACGTTTTTTAAAATATGTATTTTAGATTTAAATTGTTAGCCTATATCAGTTATGATTATGCAAATGAAAATAAACTGGATTTACGGTTCCTAAAAAGTTTTTTTTAATCATTTTATTGGGGGCTTATACAACTCTTATCACAATCCATACATACATCAATTGTATAAAGCACATTTGTACATTCATTACCCTCATCATTCTCTAAACATTCGCTCTCCATGTAAGCCCCTGGCATCATGTCCTCATCTTTCCCCCTCCCTTCCAGTTCCCCCCTCCCTCATGAACCTTGATAATTTATAAATTATTATTTTATCATATCTTACACTGTCTGACGTCTCCCCTCACCCACCTCTCTGCTGTCTGTCCTCCAGGGAGGAGGCTATATGTAGGTCCTTATAATTGGTTCCCCCTCCCTACCCCATCCAAATAAGAGCTTTTCTTCTGTGGCCTTAAAATTCAGTATTACAGATTTAATTCTGAACAGTTAGTTATACACAGTAGTATCATGTTGAACCTTTGGTATTGTATTCTTAAATGAGAATTTATAAAAGTATCAGTTGCAATCTGAAACAGTGATGAGTATTTTTATTTTATGTGGGCTTTTTACATTATCCTTTTTGTTGTTTTCTTCTTAGGCCGAAAACCTTCTTCTTGATGCTGATATGAATATTAAAATTGCTGACTTTGGTTTTAGTAATGAATTTACCGTTGGGAACAAATTGGACACATTTTGTGGAAGCCCCCCCTATGCTGCTCCCGAGCTTTTCCAAGGGAAGAAGTACGATGGCCCTGAAGTGGACGTGTGGAGTCTTGGCGTCATTCTTTACACATTAGTCAGTGGCTCGTTGCCATTTGATGGCCAGAACTTAAAGGTATCAGCAAACTTTGATAATATGTATTTATTCTCACTTGTGGTCATTTGAAAAATTAATTATAAGTGCTTTGTTTTGCTTTTGGAAGGAACTGCGGGAGCGAGTCTTACGAGGGAAATACCGTATTCCCTTCTATATGTCCACAGACTGTGAAAATCTTCTAAAGAAATTATTAGTGTTGAATCCAATCAAAAGAGGCAGCTTGGAAGTAAGTAATATTTTGAACTCCAAATTTATTTAACAAGTCAGACGTCCAGAGGCTGAGGGGCTTATCCATTCAAGTTTTTCTCCTCTGATTTTTAGGAAAGCTTTAATCATCTCATTTATCTTCTGTGTAGAGCTAAAGGAAATGACTTGAGTCTTTTAACTGCTCAAAAATACCACAAGTTTCTCTAAAGACTTTGTTTCTTTTTGGTCCTACAGTCAAGGACTGAACATAACAAACAAAAGAGCAACATAAAAATAGAGATAAAATTAACTTGTAGTTGAAGAAGGAAGAAAACAACCTTTTTCACACAGCCCTTGTTCCCAAATGGAAACTTAGTGTGTAGTAGGTTCTCAATAAATGCTTCAAGATTAAAGGGAGATATATAATGAGAAAGTTTAATCTAGTGACTATTTAATGTGTGTCTGAAATTAGTAGCATCCTGTGAATATTTAATGTCTGTCTAAAACTTGTACTAATATTTTTTAAATTAATAGAAATTTCTCAATATCAGCCCAGAATATTCACAGATATTTTCGGAGAAAATAGTGGAAACAGACATTTCATTTCTTCATACACTGTTTCATTTTTCATATCCCATATGTGTGATTATTTATAATAATAGTACATTGCAATAGTACATAACACCAATTGTCATGCTCTCTAATAAGCACATCCTATGGCTACATTTTCATAGAAGTTCATGTAACCAACATGCCTAGCTGTTTTTCCTCTGTCCCTGGTTAGAATAACATATTCCTTAATATTTTATGTCTCTGTCTTTCAGAATGAAAATCTTAGCATGTAGTAAAATAATTTCAGGAATTTAGCATGTATTGTTTAGCAGTGCTTTTTTTGCCTTCGTTTATTTACCTTTTCAGACAGGGTAGAAAAGCCAGAGAATTAACTTCCTTTACATTGTACTTTTGTAGTGTAGCAATGGGGCTTTCTGGCACGGACTCGATGCTGGTTAGGAGACAGCCTCATAGTGAACCATCCCTGTGTACAGAGCTCTCAGGTTAGTTTGGGCTTTGTAATTTTATTTCCACAAGTACTTCTCACCAGAAGATAAAGTATGTTTTGATGGAAGTTAAGGGATGGTGACTTCCATTGAGAAATTATATTACATGCTTTATATTAGCGAATTGTTAGACTTTCTGTTACAGAGACATTGATTTACCTGTGATTAGCTCCTTCCTATGATGTGTGTGTGTGTGTGTGTGTGTGTGTGTGTGTGTGTGTGTGTGTTCTTCTTGTGAGGGGAATGATACGTTGATAGTTTTTTAATAGACAGCTTGTGCAGTCTACGAGCCCACTTTCATACCACAGCTTTGCCAAACTTACTTCCAACCATTACTCATGGAAAATGTGTGGAATCATTACAAAGTTAAAACTGTTGACTCTCCTTAACAGTTATAACATTTTAGAGTAGGGGGCACAAAAGTCTCTTAATCCTCTTTTGTGACCCACTTTTATCATCAGAACCCACCCAATGTGATATCACTTGATGAAGCAGCAACTAAGCTAATGTGCAGAGTAAAATGAAAATGCAGAAATTATTTTGGGAAATAAATGTTACAAATGCCTTAGACAATTGATAAAATATTATGGTGTATTAAAGGTCACAAATATACATTTATCAAATAAGTCATCAGTAGCATTGAAATACTAAGGATTAAAGAATTAGTTCTTTGGGTTGATTTTAAAAGCCATTTGTTCATGAGAAGCTCAACTTGATGTATATGAATATATTCTGGCACCTCCTGTTCTAAATTAGCCAAACTAGATTTGTGATATCATCTATACAACCATGAGTTTGTATTGGAAATATTATCCTCATATTGCAGATATCATTATGCAAAATCTGGTTTGTTCACAATTCCCAAAAATAACCTTCCAAAGGAACAATCACCACAAATATAAGACTTTTTAAAATAATTTTTTTCTTAAATCTAGTCTTAGGAAACTTGCCTGAAGATAGTAGTGACTTTGAAAATGATATGACATATTCTTTCTTTTTCTTTTTCTTTTTTTAAATCATTTTATTAGGGGCTCATACAACTCTTATCACAATCCATACATACATCAATTGTGTATAGCGCATTTGTACATTCATTGCCCTCATCATTCTCAAAACATTTCCTCTCCACTTAAGACCCCCGCATTAGGTCCTCATTTTTCCCCTCCC